TCGACGTAGTACCCCAAGTTCGACAGGTATTCCGATAAGAACTCTGCGCCTTCCACTTCACCCCCGGAAATGGATGGGATGTTGACTAACTCCTCATGAAGGCTAAATAATTCGTCCGTCTCCTCGGCAGTAAGGGTCACTGAGCTTGATGCCGATGGACTGGCAGAGCTTACAGCTGATGGCGATACCGAAGCTTGGGGTGCTGCAATGGCTGATCTCAGGAATACTAGAGATACGAGAGACTTGATAGAGACCATGTTGACAGTTGTTATGGACGCTAATGTTTTGAACCTGTCGCTGTGTCATGCAAAGTCGAGGGAATGCATCTACCTTTATATTTTGAGCGTAGCCCTGCAAAGACAGGACTTATCTTCCAAGCCATACTTAGGCCTTCCGCTCTAATCATAACCTGCATTGCCTCAACTTCTCGAACGACAGGGTTGGATGCAAGATTTGATCCTTATTAGTTGGCATACGTCGCTCGGCATTTGGTACATCACTCGTCGGTAGGCAAAACACCGTTTTCTAGTTGGAGCCAAGAGGAGCTACCTCTATGAAATCCATTCGAGACTGTTTCACTGGACTGTCAGTGAAGATCGACGAACTACAAGCATAAGCCAAGGAATTTGTTGCCCGCCAAGAAAGCTGGTTTGGTACTCGAAAGAAGATAGCTGATTTACGTAACCTGTGCAGCAGATTTATGTTCACGATAGTTGCTTTTCCCCACTGTACGGACAAAAGCGGGATGATGTCAACGGCGACAACGGCTGCAAATGCGGGGTGGTTAGCTGTTGTCGAGCTCCTGGTAATGATAAGCGGTATCTTGGCAGCCATGGCAGCATAAGAAGCGTCTTGGAGTTTTCTGCATTGTATCATATCGGATAGTTGCAAGATCAGTGCCATAGACGCGGTAGAAGTATCGGACATAGGCGCTATGGAGACAAGACAGACGCAGTGGGGCCTCAAACGCAATTTCATAACGAGACGAGAGAAACAGCCGCTGGCTACATGCTTTGCGATATAGATCGGAATAGAATCAAATTCCATGTCTGCGCAATTCGGTATGAGAAGGGGCCGTCATGATGTTGGGACGATTCGGAGTCACTCCCACTGGTAAGGACACTTTCATGGTTAGGTCTGGTTGAACATACCCAAGTGAGGGACCTGTTGACCTGGTCAATTCAAAATTCTGAGAAGTACAGAGACAGCTGAAGAATGCGACCAATTCGAAAAGTTGATGTGTTGTTGGTGGTAGTGGTGGTGGTGGTTGGTGCTGCTCAGGCGTTGTCCGATCAGTACGCGTTCGCAACGCGGGTTCGAGAAAGTCGCGACAGTGAACATCACCTGGATGATGCCTAAGTATTGCACAACCACTAGGATCTGAGTTTGCACGAGTCCGGTGTCTTGAGACATATTTCCTAGACGTGATTAGTCTGTTCTCCCAGCAGCTGACATTTGGGAGCTCACACACAAAGGACCGAAAGCGGATAGCGCGCCGCTCTTGACCGACTGACGTACATCCCATGGATCATCTGGCTGAGCCACTCCACACCTCCGCCCGCGTATCCGTGAGGCTTGAGCTTTCGCTACCTGCAAGTCTCGGGCCTGCATCTATCACCTAAACACCGACATCTCAAGAAGACACCCCAACAACTGCGACCATGTTCGGCTTTGTCGCAGACGGTTTGACGTAAGTGTACCCCGCCCCCGCAGTCAGGTATCAATTCGCGAGCAAGCTTTGAAGCCTAGCATGATATCGCGAGCTCCACCGCTTGCGTTCCCGAAGCTCGCATGACTCCGATATGCAGTGTTTCTTTTTTGCTGCGATATATTCAAAGACCACCTAGCTAATCATGCTACAGCGTCGTAACTACAGTCTTCTTTCCTATCTTCGCGTCCTACAAAGCTCTCCACACCTCAGATCCAGCCCTCCTCGCACCCTGGCTGATCTACTTCGTCGTCCTTTCAGCCTGCACAGCCGTGGAAAACACATTCGACTTCATCCTTAGCTGGGTGCCCTTCTATTCATGGATTCGCTTCTTCGCACACCTATACCTGATCCTGCCTGGTTCGCAGGGCGCAGGCTACCTGTACCAGGAGTACATGGAACCTTTTCTCTACCACCATGAGCGCGAAATCGACGAGTTCATTACCCAGAGCCATGATCGCGCCAAGTCAGCAGGTATAGCATACGTCGAGATGGGTATTGAGTGGGTAAAGGTCAACGTGTTGGGCTTTGCTCCCAGGAAGCCCGACTCACCGAGGCCCGATGGACAGACGTACGCGCAAAACCTCATGAGCAGGTTCCAGATGCCGTCAGCAAGGGGCAGTAATGATCTATACGGGCTGGTCAACCAAGCGCTGAGCGGAGCCAGTGCGCTTTATGGTGCTGCCGGTACCGCAGGTACAAGAGACGCGCAAGCCTCAGACCTGAGCCGTGGTGCAGGAAACCTCGTCCCCGACTCTATCCGCAACAACGACGACCGACTAAACTACGTAACGTCACAACGTCAGCGTCTCGAGACCCTTCTACAAGCATTCGACCGCGAGCAAGATAACATCCGCTCACAGCAAACTGGTGGAAACAGATACCATGAAGTCAATAGGAGTACCGGAAGCCTTTCTGGTAGCCTGTCTCGCAATAGGAGCGAAGCCGAATTCGACAGGATTGAGCGCGACGAATTGAGCTCAGGCTCCGACCGACCACCGTACCCCATCACACCGCCCGCACTAGGCCGAAGGACAAGCAGTGGTTGGATGCCGTGGAACTGGCAGCGTGAGGAACAGCCTCGGGACGATCCACTTGCATACGGCAAGGAGCCGAGCGATATCAGGAACAGATCGAGGGCTTCGGGTTTCGATCTAGGCGATCGCTAAAAGAACCCCTGGCGCACAAAATTCTGTGATACGACCACAGTATCACGCGGCGTTTGGGTAAGACACTAGATAGCATTCTGCTAGGCTTCACGACTATGATGAAGCGGTATATATTTGGTATCACAATTCTTGAGCATGAGTTGGGACCGGTTGTCCTGATGATCTTACAACCTATCTATACATCCACACTTGGTTTATGTGCACTCATTACGCCTGCAAATGCGTCTACCTTTTTCCTATGTGTTCCAACACATTCTCGAGCCAAACTACAGTTTGACTTCTTTGTATGGGTATCTGGCGCTGTCGTCCTTTCTCAGCACTATCTTCCTCTTCTTCTTGGTGCTCACATGCTCGACCCATATTTCTTTTGTCATCTTGTTCGTGAACTCCCTGATGAAGCGTGGGTCCCAGAGTTCAGAAGCAATACCCAAATCTTTACAGCATCGCATCAAGGCGTTGGATTTGCAGCCTTCGGTCGCAGTGGGGATACCGTCAGGGTCGAAGTACTGTTGCTCGCCACGGGCAATGGAAACGAGTCTGATTTTTCGTTAGCATAGATGCAGAAGAATTGCCAAAGGGCGGGCAGAGAAACATACCGTCCTTGGACAATGAGTCCATATTCCCTCGTCACCAGCTTTCCAGTAACGATACTCTCGCCTCTTGGTGCTAAGCCCCAACCTCCTGGCCCGAATGCCTTGTTCAATATCCGCCTGTACTTGATCTCGGGCAAGTATATGATACCGTCTGGCTTCACCTCGACATCGTCTTGTGTAATGGGCGCGAGCAGCGTGTCCGACTGCTCTGGTGTGAAAGATATGCTGCCAAGGCCATGGTACGAGCGAGTCCAGTCTATGGCTGGTACGCCTTCTAGCTCGGGAGGTGCATCGGACAGTCCTTCGGTAAGCGAACGTTGTTTTTGGGCTGCTGATGCCGCGGTTTCTGCGGTGCTGTTGCGTGTGGTAGGCACGGGAGGCTCTTTCGCAGGAAACGAGGGAGTTACTGTCCGTTGTGGGGACGCTGAGGTTGTGGGCTTTGACGCAGTTGACGTTGAGGTCGCAGGTTTCGCAGCTGTCGAAGTGCTAGTCGTGGTTGCCGCTGCTGCTTTGGGTGCAGTCGCGTATGCGGCGCAGATGCGGGATGAAGAGAAGCTTCGTTTTTGTGTTCGACTGGCAATTGATGATGCCCTGGATGACGAAGTAGAGAAAAGAGCCGAAAGGCCTCTGCGAGCGGGTGTGGCTGCCATTATAGAAGCGCAAAGGTGTGCGGGGTTCGATTTGTTGCTCTTGAAACGGACCTCGATGCCCCAACGCGAAGTCACGATCTGATAGGCGCACGGGCCAGGCCTTCCTATGCGAATGCGATCGCTTCCAGCAGCCCACACCAAAACCCGTCTTGGTCCAGGAGCCATTACACACTAAGAACGATCGCCTTCTTTGACCAATCGCATCAATTTCCACTTGCATTATGCCTATCGCGATATCTTCTACTGGTCTTCGCGTTCGAGCTTGATGCATTTGTTCCTTTCGCTAGATCTCATACATCCAATGCCAATCTCCTTCATCGGATTTGGTCTCCAGACACGACTCGTCTTTGGTGTCTGCCTGAACGCGCACGCGTGTGCGAGTTGGGATAATGTAACCATGCAGATCACCCGGTTTCCCCACAGTTAGATGGGCATCGCTACCGTATGCACCGTATAAATTCAATTCTCCGAAGGATCGGACCATGAAACTGGAACGGACGAATGTGTCCTGTGTCCTGCGCAGTACAAACAGCTGCTGTGCCTTGTTCCCGGCCTTCCGACAGGGTAGATTTCGGACAAACTCGATAATCCTTGAACCGGACGACTGTCGTGGATGAAACCATGTGTGAATGCCTAAGTCGCTACAAATGCCCCATTAGGTGTGACCTTGAACTACTCGAGGCGATCATTTGACCCTGCCTACCCACCCCGACGTCAACGGTACTAGGCGAGCTGACAAGCCACCCATCGACGTATGAAACGCGTCAACCTATTCCGCTTCTTTTAGTGCGAGAATGGAGGAGCTTGTACCTCGTTCCTACTTAAGGCTTGCTCGTGCCCTGCGTTTAGATCATCCCATGGTGGCTGAAGTCTAGGCATCATGGCTTCTACATCAGCAAAGGGTCCTACAGGACTCTCCAATCTCTTGAACATCACTTCGGCATCGCAAATTGTTGGCGCTCTACTTGGCTTTGTAAGTGTTGTCATGCATGATCGAAACTTACAAAAAGGACATCCGCTAATGTGCGACAGCTGGTTGTTCGCTTCGTTGCCAGAGCCATCTACCGCGTATACTTCCACCCCCTCAGACATTTCCCAGGGCCCAAATTAAACGCTGCGACGCGCATCCCGTTCCACATCGCGATCTGGAAAGGGACAAGGGACAAGCTCTTCCAAGACTTGCACCGAAAGTACGGCCACATCGTCCGAGTCAATCATGATGAGCTGAGTGTCACGGATCCAAATGCCTGGAAAGATGTAAGTGTCACATTTCATAATTCACACAATTACTGGCTAATAAAGTCCTAGATCTATGGTCATGGCACCAAAGGCACTGCCGGGTCTGTCCCTCACAAAGACTGGTTTAAGTACGGCAGCTCGCCCAACGGTGCGGTTAGTATCATTCTTGCCCGCGACCAAGACCATAGTCGCCAACGCAAGATCTTCACCCCCGCATTCTCAGACCGTGCGCTCAAACAACAGGAACCGCTCTTCGTCAAATACGTAGACAAACTTGTTACTCGGTTGAGACAAACGGTCGAGAACAACCCGAATGAGAAGCTGGACATGGTTCGTCTCTATAACTTCTGCACATTCGATGTCATGGGCGATTTGACTTTCGGAGAACCGCTGCACATGCTTGATAAGGGCGATTACGATCCCTGGGTCAGCACCATCTTTGCAAGTCTCAAGGTGGGATCCTACTTGAGTGTGATGATGGCATATCCTTGGTTATGGAGGGCTTTCAAGAAATATGTACCTGAGTCTGTAAACAAGAGGAGGATGGATCACTTCAACCACTCCGTAACGCGCGTCACAAAACGCCTCGACAAGGGTCGAGATACCGAGGGTGTCGACCTCTGGGATCTTGTGTTGGGCCAAAAGGAGGGACGAGGCTTGACCAGAGGAGAGATGGATGCGAACTCATCTATTTTTATGATTGCCGGAACTGAGACAACAGCTACCCTGGTATCAGGGTTGACATACTTGCTTCTGCGCAACCCCGAATGCATGGAGAAGCTCAACGACGAAATACGTGGCGCCTTTGCCAGTGATGCCGATATGACCATGGAACAGCTCGCTGCGCTGCCGTATCTATCAGCCTGCCTCAAGGAAGCTTTCCGTCTTTACCCACCGGTTCCACTAGGACTTCCGCGCCTCACACCGCAGGACGGCAGCACTGTCGTGGGCCAATTTATACCACCCGGCGTGGTTCTGAGCATCCCTCAACACGCGATGTATACACACGAGAAGAACTTCAAAAGACCTTTTGAGTTTCTTCCACAAAGATGGTTGGGTGACCCTGAGTTTGATGCCGACGAGAGGCAGTGCCTTCAGCCATTCTCTATTGGATCTAGAGATTGCCTCGGTAAGAAGTAAGTCAAAACCTTGTCATCTTTTAGTGTGTATTTCTTGTAGATCAGACGCTAACCATTGGTGAAGCATGGCATATCACGAGATGCGTCTTATAATCGCCAAAACCTTGTATAACTTCGATATCGAGCTTTGCCCCGAGAGCAACAACTGGGAAGAACAGGCGACCTACATTCTCTGGGAGAAGAAGCCTCTGGTTTGCAAACTGAGGCCAGTCAACTAGAAGAAGTCCGTAGTACGAACATGACGAAAGCCAATAGAATCATGAATTATATATGTAGTTTTACCCTTTGGGTTTCTCTTATGACACCCTCTTCTTGCTCTTCAAATACCAACATCCTCCACGCGCAAAAGCCCAGATCCCATGCCCGCGACAGCCCATGTACCGAACTTCAAATTTGGATTCCAAGCGAGTGCTGTAATAGCAGTTTGCTCTTCGAAGATACTGATGGACCTTCCAACTTCTGGGTTTCCTCTCTTGGTAGCTGCACTGGTGTGCGCAATACCTGTTTGACCTGCTTTGTAACCCTCGGTGATGCGGACGAGAGGTTGGGAAAGTATTTCTTGGGGTACCTTCTTGGCCTCATCAGCAGACACCCCCATTTGCGGTTCCGATGTGGCGTCATTGTTCGACTGCTCAACTGGCCCTCCTTCGGCCGCCACAACATCTGCATCAGTCGGCTTGACTAGCATCCGCTCCATCGGTCCTCTCCATTCGTGTACAAACCATTTCTGCTGCCATGGCATGATTTTGTAGTTTGTGATACGCATGATCGGGTTGCTTGTTTGAACGTCTCCATCGGTTCCACCGACAAGTACACCGGGGTGTACCGGGCTTGTCGCGACTCTAGTGATACTATTTTCTAGCCGCATGCTGTACAAGTTATGGTAGTAGCGACGTATGGGTGTGTGTCTTAGGATGTAGTGTTCGTCTGGCATAACAAAAGACTGTGTATGCTCATGCCAGGCTTGCGCTAGACACAGTGTACGACCGCGTATTGAAACAACAGTATCAGCAGTCGGACTTCTTATGTCAATGAGGCGCGCAAACCCATCCGCGGTACTTATAGACAGAAACTGAGGGTTAGATGGCCATCCGGATGATATCGTGAGAATGTATGTGTCGGCCACTTGCTGATAAAACCAAGGTCTTGGACTGTAATTGTTGGCCTCGGGCGCTGCGAGCGTTCCTGGATGGGTCAAGGACCAGATACCGACAGTACCTGCCGCTGTCGCAACTGCAATCGTGGTCCCTGACAACCAGTGTAGACAAGAAGGTACTGTTTGAGGAAATGAGACTTCAAACGCTGCGTGCGTAACGTGAAGATAAGTAGGGGCGTGTAGGACAGGCTCAGAAACCGGAGCGGATACATCTAATACACGCACTCGTCCATCCGACCAAAGGCAGGCGAGTATGCCTATGTGTGTGTTTCTCTGGCCATCCGAATTTCGATTGTCATCTGTCGTTGGGATCGGGCACCATCTTAGTTGTTTCGGCGCGCCCCAGTCAGCGCAGATAACAAGCTCAAGTCTAGGCTCTATCTTTGCATTCAAGAAGCCTTCTTCTTCAGCTTGGAACGCCCATATCTGAATACACGCAGGAAACGGCTGAGTAGGGTTGAAGGCGGGTGCTTTTGGCTGCTCCATTGGCTTGGGCTGGTCCTCGCTCGTCAGTCTCTGCTCAACAGCAACAGCAAGATATTGGGTATTGCTGTCTTCGTTGCTCGCCCATTGAGCATCTTGTATCCAGGAGCCGAGGTTGAAGAGCCAACCGCGTCTATCTTGACTTGCTGGGAATGGTTTCGCAATGTTCATGTACGAACCTTCCGCCAATGTGTTGACTTGCGGCGTGTTCACGGGTCCAGCTAGCATGTTCACAGTCTCTGGCCCTGGTGTCATCATATACTCTTTGGCCTCATCCTTGGTCAATGTTTTTGTTCTTTGCGCTCTTGCAAAAGCGGACTTTCCAGTATTGGCATACCATGTCCTCAATGCTTCGCTCTCCTTTTCCCTAGCACCACTAACTTCGAAGAAGCTTCTTCTTAAGCTGCCGACATCAGCGTCGTCGGAACTGACCTTGGCGAAACTTCGAATGGGAAATGTTTCCTGTGGAAACCAGTAGTCGCGGGAGGCCAGGACAGGCTTGAGATGCGCTGCATCTGGTCCGAATAGATTTTTTAATCGTGGCTCATGACCGCCGATCTTATCGAAGTCGGGGATACCACGCGTCCGCAACTGGGCGTCAGCATCCACAGGACGTACTTTGACACCACTGCCTTTCGCGAACGTTACGGGTGACGGAATGTTGTCTGCGAGTTTCTTAGCGCGTCGGACTGCCGGGGTGGTTGGCACAGCGCGAACAGCCTTCGGTCCACGCGCATTGCGTCTAGGAGGCCCCGTAGAATCCTCATCGGAATCGTCGTCTTCCTCTTCCTCCGATATATCTTCGTCCTCTTCCGCTACCTCTTCATCTTCGTCATACTCAAGTTCACCATCCTGGGCATCTGGCATGAAGGCGTCGCCATCGTCGTCGTCATCGTCATCGCCGTGGAAGGCTGGGGTTTGCGTGCCAGAAGGCACAGAGCCATCCTCATCCTCATCAAGGAACGAGTATTCTTCTCCGACGCGATAGGACTTGCGTTGTTTGCCTCGCGACTGCCGGGGTGACGAATGGTCTAATGCGAGCGTCAGTGCTGTCCAGTCACGTTGGAGACGCAAGCAAGGTCGCCAAATCCAGCACTAGCTCCGAGTGTATTTCTTCACACAGAGATCTAACAAGCTCAGAATGTTGAGAATATCACAAGCAGGCTGGAGAAACTCTGACAATACAACATGTAATCTCACATGTGGAAGCCTTAGTACATACCCATAGGTGTTTCGAGCTATTAGGCGTGCTGCTTTGTGGTCACGGATTGGGTAAAGAAAGAGCGCGTCGGACGCGACCAGAAAACCAGCCCCACCATCACTGGAGAGCACAGACCCACATGACCCCGCACCACGTCCAAAATTCTGCAATCCAAACACGCCTTTTCACATGGTGCGGATTAGCTCGACGGCGCGGCTGGCATTTGCAAAATAGGAATATATTATTAACAAATCTTGAGTTTTCCATCAAAACGAATCACTTCGGGTAAGCTCAATTCACCTGCCTCGTCAATACACACCAGCTAACAACCCTATCGTGGTATGGTCTAGTGGTATGACGTCGCGTTGTGGCTGGCGGACACCTAGTGTCCCGATCCAGATCCGCGCCAGCCTGGGTTCGAGTACGTTCATCCGCACATTGTCGGTTCTGAGACATCTCTAACATGTCTACAGTTCCCAGTACCGCCAATAAATTGCGACATTCTTTTTTTGCACCTGGCCCGTCACTCAACGAACAAGATGTAAACTCCATGCGGTCTCTTTTTGCTGATGTAGATGCTATTTGCGTAGGAGTGGAGTGAATACATGAGTTGTGTTCTTTGTGTTCGTCTCGTAGGCAGACTTGAAAGAGCATATAACATGACAACTATGATGTAAGTAAGCATATGTTTTTCTAGTTTGCTGCAAGCTCTTATCAAAGCCTGCCACACTTCGGTCATTGATAATCATAAAAGTCGGCTCAGATTGCGTTTGAGCAATCGCTGCGTCTTCATGCGAGCTTCCCATAGGTAAAACTCGTCGCAACAGAATATTTAGTATTTATTACCGTTGAAGCGACGACATGCAATTTTTGCTACGTGAGATAAAAAATACAAGTAAGAGACGTCTAAGCATGCGGAACTATGTCTTACTAATTTCTGCAAGAGATCATAGAGTACCGCATCACTAGTAAGGCATTTGCGTAGATCAGTGACAATATAAGGTGATGGTACCAATCAGAAGGCAAAGTGGACAGTTTGGCAATCCTTTATATCGAGAGAGACTACTAGTTCAAGATCATATAAATTGGCTAGATTCTGAATAATCTTTTTACGCATGCCACAAATGCATTCACGCAGACTCACTATCCACATCGTCCTTGCCAAACTCTGTTGATGATTAAAAAGAAAAGTGCAGTACATGTGTTACGCATACAGCCCTATATGATGGGTATCTAGAAAGAACATGCTCCACGTTCCCCGTGATGCGCCATCCATGACAAATGACCATTAACGCGTTGTACGCCGAATCTATAGCAGTACAAAGTATATAAACAGAATGTCAAATCTCTTAACGCATCACTGAACCCATAGTCATGAGAATTTTACTACTTCTCAGTGTCAACGTCCATTTTATTTACGTCCTTCTTTCCAGCACCACGTACATTGACGTGTATAGTATCTTCGTCGTCATCATCATCTACTGGCGCACTCTTTGACCCAGCATTGCCATCTCCTGAAACCGTCTCAGTTCTCTTCTCTACAGGGCTAGCTCGACTAGCTGCCAGATTGGGAAACAGGGGTTTGCCAGCGATGGATACAGATCGACGCAGATTGTCGTTTTGAACTTCTTGATGAATCTCCTCAACTTCGTCCTCGTCCAGTTCGCTGAGTTCGCTCTCGTCATCGGCGTCATCGTGGATAGAGGCTGGCGCACTGCGTTCGGGCTCGTCGTTATTTATACTGGCAGCTGCAGTGTCCGTGCCACTCTTGTCGAACGTGGGCTGTAGGTGTTCAGCAGATGTGCTCGGTCCAGGTGCGGGTTGTGCGGCGGTTTCGGGTGATGCCGCTTGTCCAACAATAGAAGGAATCGTGGTGTCACCAGGCGCAGGCGATCGGATCGGCATCGACGTTGGCTGAGCAGGTGTACTGGCGATTTTTTGGACACATGCTTCGGCTCGACGAGCGATCTCCCTGCGACCCACAGCCTTGGCTCTTGGTTTCGGGACCTGTTCGGGTTGCGGTGGCATCTGGGGTGCGGAAGGCGGATGTTGTGGCTGGAGCTGGTTGGGATGATACATGCTGAACGACGTGCCAGAGCTTCCATCAGCAGCTCCATCGACCTGGACCTGCATCAACGAGGATATAGGCACAGCACCTGCAGAAGCTGGATTGGGAGCAAAAGGAGACGGGTAAGGTTGGGTAGGCTGCACAGGCGGCTGTGGTTGTTGCTCGGACTGTAAGGGGGGTAGCGCAGGCCCGATCGAGGTGTATAGCATTGCGTACGCATCGCCAATCAGATCATCGATAAGAAGGGGCTTCATCATGCCGTTGTTCAGACGCTTGAGCTCAATGGCATCACGGAGAATGTCCAACACGG